CAGCTGGAGAAAGTTTGAAAAGATTCCTCTCTGTATAACCAGAAGTCACATGAAGAGGGAACCCCTGACTGACCCAATGTGGATCTGGGATCTGGTTAGTCATAATTATCTGCTTTTATCAATTGCTGTTGCTTTTTTTTAAATTAAGAAAGGATTAGGAATATTTCATGGAACAGTGACTATATGTCTAGAGCTCTTTATGAAGGTTTACTCTGATATTTTGATATCATACTCTTGATATTTTAACATTTACGCTAGTTAGATTATTTTTGATTAAAAAAAAAAAACCCCACACACATGGTGTTGCCATGGTAGTGAGGACCAAGTGTTGACTCCCTTTGACCTACATAGATTTTCAGTCATTTTCAACCCTTTCTATGCCCTAACCCTAAATCTAACCCCAAGCCTAACCATTACCAATGCATAATTCACCATAACTCTAACCCAAGTGACACCTTAACCCTAAACCTAACCATTTGCAAAATAGCTTGTGAGGACCAGCAAAATGTCCTCACTTTGCAACAAATGGTCATCAATATGATGTTGAAATTGTAAAAAAAAAAAAAAAAAGGCCCTCACTCTGATAGCTAGACAGGTACACACACACACACGCATATATATATATATATATATATATATATACATCAGGGTGACACCTTATGTGGTTTTATTTCACATCTTGTAATTTGTTTTGTGGAAATAGAAAATGTTGGATTCCACAAGTTGTGCACCTCATAAAAGTTTACATTTTCCTCATGGTAATACAAACTGCATACAGACCTCTTTTTTTGTCTCTTTGCCGGATTATGTGAAAAAAAAAATCTAAAACAACTTTTAAAATACATTTTTATCGTTTTCTTTCTAAAAAAAACTTCTGACTGACATTTTCCCTTTAATTTTTTTTTTTTTTGTCAAGGAAACAAATGGTCATTATGACAGATTTTAGTCAAACTTTATTGGAATGGGTGTGCATAAAACTGGCATTGCACTGTCATAAACATGACCCAACACCTGTCATATACATAAAAGAGTCCTTATAAATGTTTACGACTGTTGTGATTAAGTCATTTAGTAAACTATTACACTTTTAATCCAATGTTAATATTGTTAAAATAACTTTATGACAGCTTGACATCAACAAAGGCAAGATGTGTTGTTTATAACAACTTGGAATTACACAAGAATTTACAATCAATCATTAAAATGTCATAGTTGGTGAATCATGAAAGATTATTTAGATGTACATGTTGATAAATGACTCTGTGAAATGTGATCGGTCCTAACTTTGGCTATCATTAAACTATTTCAATTAAGGTATAATGGAGGATTTTGGTGAATATTTGAAAAGACCCGCCTTCTCCAGTTTAAAAAAAAATGAACATGTACAACCCTGTACCTGCACCCGAGAGGGAACGCCTATTAAACCCGTGCAAGAGCATGCATGAGCCCATTTCTCTTCGAGGAGGTGCGGTGACGCACGCATAAGACGGTCATCCGAATAGACCTCATTTCACCCAAATTTATATATAAAAGTTTCCCCGCAAACAAGACTACTGCTACATAAAAAAAACTGACCTGCTTGGATGTGTGTGTGTGTGCTGCAGTGGACATTTGGACAGGTTTGCAGGGCAAATAAAGATCTGTGGCCACCATATAACTATTACTGTTGCAAATTACAAAAAATAAACTTATCTTCCTTGGAAAGTTACAATATAGAGGTAGATTACTTTTATTAGCACAAATGGATTTCTCCAAATAGCATGCCTTTCGAGTAGAACCATTGCAACCCGAGGCATCAGTTGGAAGCCCCACCTGTGCTTTCATTGTTAGCCATCATGTGAAAGAATCTCTCAAAAACATCCTGGTCTTGTTGCTCTCTTCTGAGGCCTTTCTCTTCTTCTCTTATGACCCTCAGCCATTTTCAATGAACCACAATGAGAAAGGCGAACTTCAATGACTGGCTGAAACCGTAGCTCACCGTATAAAAGTGCACATGTGCAGAAAAAAAACAGCTAACTGAGAGCGAGCACGTAGGATGGCCTGATAT